GTATTATTTTTTTATGCGACAAACTCACCAGTGTAGGGTAAGTAAAAGTGGAGAGTGTTTTCCAGAAAATGTTAAGTTTGTTCTTCTTGCTAAACTAAAACAGAGATAGCTGAAAAGCAGACGATGACATTTATAACATCTGACTACAGCTTCACTACAGGTTTAGTAGTTATTCAACATGCTGAGCTTTCATCATTTTCTGCAGTGGATGCAGCGTGTCTTCTCGGCTTTACATTTATGTAACCACACATTCAGACTGCTGTAACTGTTATAAAGGTCTAGTGAACATTGAACTCGATTTTGAGTGACAGGTCCTGTTATGATTACTCCCCATACATTTCCGTCAGGTAATTCAAGGGACATACAATAATCACCTCAGGTGTGTTGAGGTTCGCCTGCCAGAACGAATTCAGAAGCTAAAGCAGGACTGATTTACATAACTACTCTCCCCACTTCATATAACGTTTCAAATGAAGGAAATATTTTCCTTTTTGCTAGTTTATGTAATATGAAGAGTCTCAAGTGTATAACAGTGGGAAGAAAAGAACAGAGAGAGTGGAAATGAAAGAGTGTAAGGAATACAAAAAGAGGATAGCAGGTTAGAACAAAGCATTTAGTCATGAACCAAACGAGTCAGTTAGTAAGAGTTTCAAATGAGTCAGTGGGAATTTTCTAAAGGTGCAGTATAAAGTAGGCGCAGTTGCTGTGGGCATTTAATATTTCACACATTTGCAATATGCGCCAGAAAGGAGGTAAAAGGGACATAAACTGAGTGAAGTATAGGTTGTGATGAACAACAACTTCCCACACTTATGTTCCACTCCTTTTTATGCCTCTCCTGCAATTCTGGCTGCCCCTGTGAGCCATGGGCTATTTCTGAAGCTCATTTTCGTGACCAGTGCAGGGTTTCCAATAGACCTTTTCGGATTAGATGCTTTGACTGAACTCCGAAGCAGTTCACCTCACATCAAAAAAATTCATTTATTTGTTTACTTATTTCTCCCCAGTTTAGTGGTAGCCAATTCCCAAGTATTGGACAACACCATCAGCAGTCTTGATAAGCTTGTCGTTACATCTTGCTGACCTGCTGCGCCTTCACCAACTGAAGAACTTTTCCTAAATTCTCATAACACATAACCATAGCCGCCCAGTTGATTGCTATTCCAACAGAAATCATTGTCTTAAAATGACCTGGAAAGAATAAAACAACTGCATTCAGCATCTTCCAAATACACCAATCCATCTCCAGGACAATCTGGAAAAATATAGTGAGCTTATTATAAAAAGTAGTTTGTATAAACATGTATTTTGAGGAACTCTTGTTTCAGTTTCACTTGAGACATCATAAATTGAAGCTGATGGTGCTGACCTATCAGGTCATTGACATTTCATTTCATGAACATGTTCATGAACATGTTTTCACTAATGACTTATACAGTAGATTGAAAAATTATGAACTATGTATCAAAGGGTTTTTAAGATGTTTTATTCAATATTTATTTAAGTTTGGGAAGTTAATTTTACCATAGCTTAATTCTCACTATATACAGCTTTCTCAATCAATATGGAATCATCTACAGCTCGGTTTAGTATTCTGGCCACCATCATAATAAATTCATTTTTACATGTTCACCCACTCTCAGAAAAATAGGTATGAAACTGTCACTGGGGAAGTACCCCTCTTGTCACTGGGGTGGTACCCTCAAGGGTACATCTCAGTACCTTTAGTCAGGGAGCATAATTGTACCATAATCCATTAAAATTATATTTTCTAAGTTGTATTGACTCCACACACCCCGCCTCATCTCCAGACTTTTTATTTTATTGTTCTGTTTTAAAACATTAGATTATGAAAAGCTACAAATACTCACTTTCCCCACCGGGAAAAACTTATTTAAGGTACACAACTGGACATTAAAACCACTGTTGCACCTTTGAAGTCACATTTACATTGTTTGTACCTTGACAAACAAAAATGTACCGGCACAGAACCTTTATTTCTAACAGAGTAGTTGAAACTTAGGACATTGTTAAGTTTCAGCATCTCAACAGAATTATTCTATATCTTCAACAAACTAGTTTCACTGAAAATAGATTTTAAACTTTTGAGTTGTAGTGTTTATATGGTATGTGACAATGACAGAAAAGGGACAAAAATAAGGTAATGATGAGCACTGCGCAAACAAATGAACAGATCGATTGAAGGTGGAAGAGTGTGATTATGCATCCCAGTAGGGAAGAGAAGAAACCCAGCATGAGAAGTCTATTTCAGCACAAATTACATGGGTTCACATGGGTAACTGTGTTTCTATGAGGTCCTGAAAGCACAGATTGAGGTTCATTTAAGAACATTCAAGAAGAGTCCAGATTAAAAAACTCAAAACGTGGTTGAGGGGCAACTGGGAAATCTGTTGTTTTTGTCATCATTAATGGTCAGCATGGTCAGCAGAACAGCTGGGTTTGAGCATGTTGAATTAACAGTTGTTGTCAGTTTAGCAACAAATACACCAATGCTACCAGATACAAAAGGACTGATATTCAGTATGCCAGTCTAAGCTGAACCAGTCAGGATTTCCTTTAATTTTATAAGTATACCTAGGGCTTAAGCAAATCTCCTACCCTGAATAGCCCCTGTTTCATTGGTATCTTTTTAAAACGAGCATCCAAAGTCATCAGAATTCGGAGCATACACCACCGTCGTATACATTTCTCAGTCTGGAACCTGACATTCCAAGTGTCAAGATTGTATCAGTTTGAAAACAAGACCTGTCAGAAGTTTGACCTTAGAAAGAAGACATCTGTCCAGGATAACACCCGTCATCCAAAAATATTCCACCTCCGCTGCATTTAAAATGCCAAATATGTCGGCTATCATTTAGAATATGAGCAGAACGAATGGCATAGTTTGCTGAAGTGACCGATTTGTCATCTCAAGTCTTTAACCCAAGCTGTCAGAGTAACGGAAATATGTTTCAATCTGGCATGTGCAGGATCATTTTCCAACCAGCTCGCCCAACAGCATTACTGATCAAATACAAATAGGATCTTAATGGAAGGTGAGTAATTACCACAGCTTTTTTTCCTGGTCTGTACTCATCTGTAATGCACTGACAGCTTCTGTACCTTCAAAATGTGATTATTTTACATACACAGGGTGCTTTTTTATGGTCCTTATGGCCCTGGTTCACCCACCTGCCTTCTACACTGCCATGAAGATGACTCACTTCTATTAATCACTACCGGGACAGGTAGCCAGACTGCTTCACTGATCGAAAAAAAGTTATGAAGAAAAGAATGAGTCTGTTACCTCTATTTCAGGGTGTGAAAGCTACTTGTGTAAAAGGTGCCAGTGTCTTTTGCCAAGTTTTGATGAGGTAAGTCTCCTGGCTCCGACATGCTCATAAAACAGTCAACTTCTCTGCTGTAATAGCTTTACATGGAGCATTTAGAGGTGTTTAGCCTCACGGGCTTACCTACAGGCTACAGTCCAACAACAGCCAGCAATATGAGACCAAATTCAAATTAGGAAACATATCAATATCAAATATTAGCCAGTTACAGCATAATACATTCACAAATATTCTGCAGAAGCAAAATTGCAAACTTGAAAATGCTTAACTTGCCTGGCTTCATAAATTTATATGGAATTTATAATATGTACTGAGAGGCTACGATTTACCAACAACACACTGAAAAAGACAGAATTCAAATATGCCAACATGATACATCCACATTATTGTGCAGAAGCATAAACTACACATTTAAAAATACTTAATACTAAATTGAAACTGTCAAGCACAACCTCAGATATTATCTGTTACCTGTTCAACCAACACTTCAAATTCTGTACACAAGATTATTCACCTTACTGGCTTCATAGTTTTGTACTGTTAGGTTTGTATTTATAGGCTGTCTATCAAAAACAGCCACTTATATTAGACTAAACTCAAATTATGAGGCATGTTACCTCAAATACTACCCAGTTACAGGTTATACCAACGTAACACATCCACAGATTTTGTGCAGAACTAAGGGTGGGTAATATGGCGATATTTTACCAATATTATGATAAATTACGTCACAATAAGCTTTTCTGAGCATGAATAAAAACATTGTAGTTGTAAGTTTATTACTGTTATCATTGTTGCACTACAGGTTCTATTTTGTCTGTTCCAACTTTTTAAAGCTCAGAAAACTTAAATATCGTGATGCATATCGTGTATTGTGAAAATGCCCTGAAGTATCGTGATGTAATATTTTTGACATATCGCCCACCCCTTTGCAGAAGCACAAACCGTACGTTTGAAAATAGCTCAAAGTCAAATTATGAGGCTTGTTACCTCAAATATTAGTCTATTACAGGTAATACCAACATAACACAACATTAAATCCTGAATAAGCCCAAGTTGTAAAGCCTTAACATCCCTGGCTTCCTGGCTTTACGTGGAGCATTCAGTACTGTTTAAACATATGCATGTATTTATAGGCTACAGTCCACCAACAGCAGCTACTAACCGGTTATGAGGTTTAAATTCAAATTCTGAGGCATTTTACCTCAGATATTAGCCACTTACAGCTTAACAAACGTTCTATAAAAGCACAAATTGTAAATTTGAAAGGACTTAACTGGTTTAATGGCTTTACATCGAGAATTTTATTTAAGATTCGGGACGTTTTTTAGGCTACGGTCCACAAAAACAAGACTACACGAGACTAAATTCAAATTCTGAAGCAGGTTACTTCAGATACTCGCCAGTTCCAGGTTAAACCAACATAACAACAAATGAAGTACCTACATTAAGTTGTAAAATTGGAAATATTGAAATTCACTGGTCGCAAAGCTTTACATAGAGCATTTAGTACTGTTTAAAATTTATAACGTGTAGCTCACCAACAATAGCCACTAAACCGAGACTAAATTCAAATTATGAGGCAAGCAATTATGTAGAAGTTGTGTATTTGAAAATACGACTGTTATAAATGACAGGAGTGACACTTACTTTATGGAGAAAGCAGCTCAGAGTTGAGAGATACAGCACGAATCTGGATGCGTCCATGAACATGTTTAGTGGTTGCTGGAACCGTTCGGGTTCAGGAGACACAAAAAAGCAACAAAACTAGCCGGAAAGTTTCTCGTCGAGGTGTCTGAAAAACGTTTCACAACAAACGTTCAGGAAAACGACAGCAGTGTCCTCGGACGAGATGTTGAACGAAGAGAGAAGTTCAGCTGAAGGAGCATCTTACACGCCCTCCGTTTCACTTGCCAACGTCTTCACAATGTGGCATTTCACACGCTGGTTCGGCGTTAGTATTTTTCCCACCCTGTATTCCGCCAAGCCGCGCCTCCTGCGCTATGATTGGATGGTAATTTATCATGAATCGTGCCTGTGCTCTGACTGTGAGTATTTAGCTATTAGCCAATAATAGATCTGGATGAGGGACGTTCTAGCCAATCCCAGCACAGCAGGAGAGACTTTAATAGCCAATCCGAGCCAAGGAGGCAGGACAGTTCTAGCCAATCGAAGCGAACGGGGATATACAAACGTTTCTACAGCAGGAGGCTTGACACTAATATCCAATCCCAGTGCAAGAGGAGGGGCGCTACGAGCTACGAATAGCGGGAGCTGCCGGAATACAGGTGGGAAATGGGCTTTCATTCAAATACGCATCAGTCATTCAGCGAGCAGTGTGCGTTATATTGTCACTGACTAATATGAACGTGGGTTGAAAAATGGGGAGGAAGGCCAATGATGTCCGAGGTTACATTTCTTTAGACCACAAATGCAAGGTTAAACTATGTGCGCTAAGGGTTGTCGCGATACCAGAATTTTGGTTTCAGTATCGGTACCAAGCATAACAATGCTCCATCCCAAATGATATTATGGCAGAAAAATAAAATTCCTCATCATTGTCTGAACAGAAAATGTTTACTGAAGTGAAAACAGAAAAAATGTAATTTTTTACATCTTAATTAACATCTCAGATTTTTAACTCAATCTTATTTTTATCAATACAAAAAAACTCAAATGTTAAATAAATCAAATTAGTAGCTGAGTGTTTTAAACATGACCTAGTCAGCATGTTTTGAAAGGAAAAAATACAACATATAATACAGAAATATATGGCCTAAACCTTCATTACACCCATATCTTGTACTTCTAGGAGTATAACATTGCTGTCCAAAGAAAAAAAAAAACAGCACATTTTCTCTAATTTTATTTTTATACATCATTTGAGCATTACAGCTGCCCTTTGTATTGTGTGAAAATTCAAACATGATTAATGGATCAATAGAAATGCTCCAAAATGGCTTGGAAGAAAATCTCTTTACATTAACGTACATTAAAGGTAAAGAAAATTTTTGCCATTTTTTTTACAGTGATGATAAGACACAAATATTACTGAGTAAAACTGTGTGTGTGTGTTAGATCTGCTCATGAAAGCAGCTCCGCACATCCTAATCAAATTAGCATATGGAATTTGAACTGCTTACAGGCTACAGGTTCCTAAATGGTTCTTGGCTAATGCATTTCCTTCAGTTAGTATAGCGCTTTTGCATTATCTAGAGGTTCTTTAAGGGTTTTTCACTTTACAAGAAGTGTTTTGCTTTGCGTGAAGACCTTAACATCATTGAATGTGTTTGGGATTGCTTGGATGATTAGAAGCAGAAAGTGCAACCAACTTGTAAGACTGAACTCTGGAGCTGTTTACAAGAAGCATGGAAAAATTTCCCTGCGGATAATAATAAATGTAAAGAGTGGACACATAAATACTGAAAAAATTGTAGTTACTTGTTGAGGCTTCTGTGTAATTTCCCGTTAAATATATATTCTCTGCTTTTTTTCTGATAAAAAGTCAGTATTTTAACCCTCTATTGCACGACGTTGCCTCAGGACAACAAACTAATTTTCCTCACTTTACAATGACATTATACATATATAAAGACAATGATGGGGTTAACAATAAAGGGAAGAGTTTGAGCAAGTCAGTATGAAGCATGTACTCGGTCATGCTGTCCCCTAGTCTCCACATTAAAACCTTTTTTAACATTCAGTACCATTTTTTTTGTTATGAGAATTTGCAGAAATATGTTTGTTGCCTAGAAGCAACATTGAGTGACAGTGGAATAGATTTAGCCAGGCACAACCTTGGTCTCACCACATTAGGGAACACGGCTCTATGTTCTTTCTTTCTATTGTCATGTAATGTTGCCTCAAGGCAACATACTCCAATAGACCCCTGCACAAATTATTTCTTTTAAATGTTTTTGAATTTAATAATCAGGACTTAAATAATAAATTAAGGACCATTATATGCAAGTGAATTGAACATAACAAAAATACTCCACAAAAAACCTCTGAAACCTGGAACAGATATGCTTTTTTTAAGGAAAGTCAATGGGCTTTTCCTCTAAATCAATAGTGTAGATATTAATCCACCAGTGGAGACTTACATGTTGTAATAATCGACTAAGTGTTATCTTTCTAAATGGTGCTTCAAGATGAAATAAGATTATCTGGCAGCAGCTTGCTCAAGAAGAGTGCTTTAAAACACACTACCTGTGACGTCCATTCAGATGTGTGACAGTTATTTCATTGTGACTAATGCAAACCATTGCCATGTCTGTCTGTCATCGACATGTGTTTCCACGCTTGCATCCACTGATTTGTCCATTCCCGGCATCAGTCCATGGCTTCTTTAGATGCACTTTACAGTTGTTTATTCTGTCAAACACGTTTTTGTATTTAATGGTGGTTGTGAATGCCTCTTCAGAGCTGTCCATATAGATTTGTGTGAGTGCAAGAGAAATGGAGCTTCACCGGAGGCACTGACCTTTATAGTGCAGGTCTGTAATATTGGGCCACGATACAGAGCACGCAAATTCCTGCAATTCACATGGATTTAAGGTCTTTTCAAAATATTGACTGTCTGGAAGCTTTGCTCTATTAAATTAAGCTCAGACAATAAAGATTCAGAGCTAAAGCAGACGTTTCAGTAGCACTGTCTATAAGCAAGGCTGGTCACAGCAAGCGCGGATGTAAATAGCCTCATTACTGTTTCTCAAAACTGAGCACATTCTGTCCACTTTACATTCAAATGAACTAAACCGCAATGCAACACAATAATCTCCTGCATAATATGTGCGCAAGCACTTTCATTGTCTTTCAGTCCCGCTGTATATTGCAATTTGACTGATGTGATTTTGTGCATGTAAATGAAAGACATGGGGGGTGTTGTGTTGCTGAGATTCAGAAATGGGATTTGTTTTTTTTTACATCAGAAATAAATGATCTTTCCCAGATTGAGTGAACATTCTAATTTTGCAAACAATCATTCACAGTAATCCCAGGGATGGATTACTGACCTGGCCATTGCCCAGGGGCTTCTGACTGCCAGAGGCCTCGGGGGGGCCTTAGGGGGGATCCTCAGACCACATGGTTTTTAGGTGGCTCAAAATCCTGGTGCAATCTCCTGCAGATATAAATGTTGGATGAACAGATACATGAATTATATAATATATAAGTATATATTCATATTATTTATTTGAATACATACAAATGATTAAATTAATGAATAAATGAAGGGTTCTCTTTTTTAGTCCCGTTTCCTGTTTTTGGGATATTATTGTTTGCCATTCAAAAGGATGTTGGCATTTACCATTCCTATGTGTAATTGCATTATGACTTGGTTTGGCTTAAAAGAAAATAAGAAAACACAAAAATCTCCAAACTTTCCACAAAAAACATTTTGTGGCCGATACAATAGGATTGTTTGATGATTTTGTCTATTTTCAAAGCAGAGTTGCTGAAAATGGTCAAACATAAATGTGAAATATTGTTCATTCTCATTTTTCAGGTCTTTTTCTTTATTTATTATTATTACTTTTACCCAGTTTTCTCCCAGTTTAGTCTTTGCCAGTTCCATCCATTAGCTAGGTCTCCCCCCAGTCACTCAGTACTACCAAGCTGAGAGGGTGAAAGCTAGCACTGGCTTCTTCCGAAACATGTGAAGCTCTACCACATCTATTCAAATTGCTGCAAACGCAACATCATTGGACAGCTCAACATGAGTGGAGGAAAACGCTAACTGTTTTGTTATGTCATCTAACAGACGCCCATTTTGGGCAGCATCTCACTGAGCTCCCTTACCCACCCATAGGGAGCAAGGAAAACTATGCTGCACTCCCACCCACGTATGGCTGTGACATTAACGAGAATCGAACTTGTGATCTCAAGATGATAGAGCCAACACTTATTTTTTAACCAGTTATTTTTGCAGTGCAAGGGGACCTTCAACGAATCTTGCACCAGGGTCCATCAGTACAAGACCATCAGTAATCCAAACTCAAATTGCTCTAAAATTAAAAAATATCCTTAAAATATTCGCCTGACAGCACTGGGAAGCAATGGCCAAGGTAATATTCAATGGTGTAGGATCTTATGGGCCGCCCCTTTGAAAATGACTTTCAACCTCTTTACAGTGGTGGTGATAGGAACCAGGGGTCACAATGTCATAGCCATTTCATTTACTAACCAAAACCTCCAGTGAACCTACAGGTGTCTTCTGAGTTTTTATGTACAATATGAATAATGGTAAAATCGTGGTAAACCTTTTGGGAATTATTTGGCCTTACAACACCCTGCATGCACCTCTCCACCTCGCATGGATTTTTAAAAATGTGTTTTAGATCAAAATTAGATCTTTTCTCCCAACTATCATAAAACAATGTCTCAGACACCAAGCAGCATATCTGCATCCATTTCATGTACTAACTTTCTGTGGTATCTTTATGAGGCATTAAATGCTTCAGACGTCTGGCTCCAATCACCACCACTGACCTTCGAAATTTCTCTACAATGGTGTATTTTACATCAAACCACTCTGAATTATTTTGTTTACAGAATTTTTCAAACATGGGTGGAATTCCCCTTTAATTTTTTTTTTCTCAAACCATACATTTGAGCCAAGAACCATTATGGAATTTTTTTGGAAAGTGTGCCCATAAATCATGAGTCATGGGTCATTGGTGTAAAATTAAGAAGGTAGCAATGTAAGGGGTCCAATAATAACATTAGGAGGCACTCCCTGCACTACAAGC